ACAGAGGCCCCGCAACAGTTGCCCTGGGCCAGGGTGTTTGGGGGAGGGAAGTTTGCACTGGCTTTGAGCCACCCTCACTCCCTCCATATGGAGGGGTGGGGCCTGGCGCTTCTGTGAAAGGGGCCATGAATGGACTCAGCCAGGAGACCCAGGGGACAGGGGCATCTGCTGGCCCAGGCCCTGGTGCTCTGTCTCCCCGATGTCCAGGTCACACCCTTTGCTGTTCCCTGCCCAGGGCCTGAAGCCCATGGACCACAATGGGCTGGCAGACCCCTGTGACAAGCTGCACCTGCGGTCAGGAGCCAGGAAGGTGAGGGAATCTCACCCAGGCCTGCCCACCAGCTGTGCCCACCCACGGTGACGGGGCCTGGGCTGGAGGCATCCAGGGAGGCCCACAGCTGCCACTAATGCTCAGAGCCCGAGCAAGCTGACAGGACCTCAGCCATTCACCTCCACGAAGAGCACCCAGTCTACCCCACACCTGGGACGCCTTCCAGGGATCTCACGAGTCAGCGTGACCTACCTGCTGATCTGGAGAAAGCCCTAGGCATTTCCAGGCCGGCATCTTAGCAGAAGCATTCTCAGCTGGTTACTGTGATGTGCAGACAAAGGTCTGTGGTCAGATCACGCTGAGAAACGCCGTTCAACAGGTCTCTTCACTGTGGACTCACCAGAGCCTTTCCTGTGCTGACGGGCTGTTCCTTGACTCTCCGTAAGGGGGATGAAGGAGGCCGCATCTGCCCAGTGTATTTGACCACAGAATCTCATTCCGATGCTGGATGGGCCGAGAGGCGACCACACATGTACTCAGGCCACCAGCACAACTGGTGCATCTAGGAGAGGAGAGAAAAAACTGATGTTAAGTAAAAGCATCAAGGTGACCTTGAGTGGTGGAAAATCAGAACTTAGACTTTCTTTCTGTGCATCCTACACTGCAGTGTTGTTTTACTTTTAATTCCATGGGGCAGAGTCTGAGTTGACTTGGGGGCCTAAATGTGTAGGCCTGGGGCCCCCCGCAGTCCAGGGGGACCACCCCTGAAGGAACATGGCGCCTTCTCTGGGGAAGGCAGGGCTGTAGGGACACGGCAGCGCCCCACCACCGACTCCTGGGGAAGAAATGGCTCCCATGCCAGGCCTCGATGTCCTTATGCTGCAAGTGGGGCTCAGGGATGTGAGGGCCAAGGTTGAGTGTGACCCGGGAAGTGTGCCTGACGCAGGAGCACAGTGACCCCTAACTCGTGGGATGGGAGCTGGCAGGGCCTGGCTGCCAAGTTGTAGGAAGTCCCCAAGACTCTCCCCAGTGTTTTATAAAGAGCAGGCTCCTTATAGACAAGCTTCTGAAAGCAGCGGGAGAGGGATTCCCGTGTCCTCTCCACAGTGGGGAACCTGACGCTGCTACAGAGCTGGAATTGGAACCCCGAGCTATCTGACCGCCAAGCCTGGGCGGGGTGTGGTGGGCATTAGACTGAGTCAGACACAGAACTGAGTCACTGGCACAGGAGGAAGGAGTGGCAGCCACATTCTAGCTCGGAGGGGTCACCACACGCGGCATGCCCGAGGAAAGGATGGGTTCCAGACAGAGCAGACCGCAAAGACGGGGCATGAACTGGGAAGGAGACTCCAGTTCCACACCAGGCCCCCTGCAGAACCCCCCGCCACCGCCCCGAGGCATCAGGGACTGGAGGTGGGTCCTCCTAGGATGAGCCTCCTATGGCCGCTGCAACAAATGACCACAAACTGAGAGGCGAAGAGCAAGGCACTTTCCACCTGACTGCTCTGCAGGTTAGAAGTCCAACTGTGGTCTCCTGGGCTAAAGTCAAGGCAGGGCTGCGTTCCTTCTGCAGCCCGGGGATTCTGTCCATTTCCTGGCTCTTTCCAGCTTCCAGAGGCTTCCAGCCCTCCTGGGCTGGTGGCCCCTTCCTCCACCTTCACAGCAGGCCCTGTTGCATCTCTCTGGTGACATCTCGCTCCGACTCTCTTCTCTGTCCCTTCTTCTGCTTTTAAGGACCCTATGACCACATTGGGCCACCCAGACAATCGAGGATGATCTCCCTATTTTTAAAGTCAGCTAATTAACAGCCCTACTCCATCTGCAGCCTCAGTTCCCTTTGGCCATGCCAATAACATATTCACAGCCTCCAAGATTAGGATTCGGCCACCTCTGGGGGCCATTGCTCTGTCTACCACATCCTTTGATGCTAATAAGATCATTTTTTTCCCTTTCTTTAGGCAAATAAGCTCAGAACAAAAGCTCTCTGTAACACTCTGAACCCATGTGGAACGAGACCCTCACTTCCTATGGGGTCACAGATGAAGACCATTCACGTAAGACCCTGCAGTGAGTGAGGGCCCTGGGCTGCCTGCTCCCTCCCCAACCCCCACCCAGAGAAACTGATGCTGGTGCAGGGTCAAGTTCAGACCTCAGACCCAAGTCTTCCACTTTGATCTCTTTCTCCTCTTGAGGGACCTTGAGGACGGAGTCTGCCCCTCCTCCTTCCTGGCGTAAGCATCAGGTCAGCTGCAATGGAGGAAAGGGTCCCTTGTGCTTGGGAAAAAAAGCAAGCATTCCTCCTGGTTCTCACTCTGGCCTTGCGCTTCCCCTCCACTTCCTGGTTCACGCTGAGTACTCGGGGCCTCCAGGTGCTTGCTCATGGCATCTTGGCCCGACCACCACCGAAGATGTCCTTTTCGGGAGGACTCAGGCACAGTGCAGGGCCTCATCTCTGGAGAGGCCTGTGGGGCTGGCTCCACACTATGACCACAACTTTGTAGATGCCTCACGATGTACACTGGATTGTTTACACATGCACACACACACATTTGGAGCATGTGTAAGTGCACACTTATACCCTTACACACATGTACACATGTGAAAAAATCTGTAATGAAACATATCAAAATGATAACAGTGATTATCTCCAGGTGGTTAGAGAATAGGTAATTTTTTCTTACATATGTGTCTTGTTTGGTTTCTTCCAAAAGTTCCACAGTGAAGATTCATTACTATTATGATATGGAAAAACAACAAATGTGATTTAGAAACCTAATCTGTAACGGATGTAATACTAAAATAATTTGGTCGGGGCACAGTGCCTCACACCTACAATCCCAGCAATTTGGGAGGCTGAAGCAGGAGGCTGGCTTGAGACCAGGAGTTTGAGACAAGCCTGGGCAACATAGTAAGACCCCCATCTCTCCAAAAAAAAAAAAAAAAATCAGATTAAAAAAGAAAATAATTTAACGCTTTGGTAAAATAGAGTGAAAACACCTTTGGGGAGTAGACTCCATGAAGGCTGGGAATCCACTGCGCAGAGTGGCCGACTTTTATCCTAACGTCCCAAAATGGAACAGCCAAACACAGCTTTAGAAACACTTCGGGCACCTGCCAGCAAATGTGGAGAGGAAACCCGCTGGCCCAGTTTGGAAAAGAATCCCATATGAGACCGTTTCTGATTTGTTTATTGAGACAGGGTCTCACTCTGTCACCCAGGCTGGCGTGCAGTGGCACAATCTCAGCTCACTGCAGCCTCGACCTCTTGGACTCAAGTGATCCTCCCATCTCAGCCTCCTGAGTAGCTGGGACTACAGGTGTGTGCCACCATGCCCAGCTAATTTTTTGATTTTTCTTTTGTAGAGATGGAGTTTTGCTGTGTTGACCAGGCTGGTATTGAACGAACTCCTGGCTTCAAGTGATCCTCCCACCTTAGCCTCCCAAAGTGCTGGGATTACAAGGGTGAGTCACCACACCTGGCCTTGTATCAGATTTAGTACTGATTATATTTTGAATTATTGTAAGTTTAGTATGTCATTTCGTAATACTCTGGTTCTCGAAAGAATGGAGACTACAACAGCCTGAGTCTGTTTTTCGCAAGTTCCCCAGATGATTCTGAAACATGCCAGCCTGAGGCTGTCCACTGGTGCATGTTGGAAAGTAGTGGTTCTCACACTTGGCTGCAACTGGAATCACCTGTGCAGCTTTTAAAAGTCTTAGTGGCAAGACCATACTCCAGACCACAAAACTCAGGGCTGGGGTGAAGGGGGCTGTTCATCAGTAGTTTAAATGTCCCAGGCGATTTTAATGAGCAGCCAGCTTTGAAAACCAGTGTCCGAATGGAAGCAGCTGCAGATCCAGGTGTGCCCCCTGAGCCTGGGAAACAACGCCTGCAAAACCTTGTGTCTGAATAACTTTGTGTTCTCTGTCTCCATCTGGTGGTTACTCCACTACATTGCTATTATTTACCTGTACAACTTGGGATCTTTTAGTTTGCCAAAAGAATCAAAAAGATTTGAAATTTCAAGAAATAAAAACAGCTACAAAATATACCACTATAAAGAGTAGAATGATCTAAGAGTCATAAATGCATTCAAATAATGTATCTGAATCTTTTGCGGTACTTGCAATTAAAAAGCAGTCAGTAAATACTTATTCCCATTATACATTAGTTAAACCCCATTTTTTGGGTACAGTGGTTCATATCTAATGACTGGTTTTAATTCAATTAAAAAATATTTAGTCTTATTATGCCTGGCATACTGCTGGCAATGGTGAACAGACACAGTACCGGGTGAGAAGAGCAAGGAGAGAGAGACAGAGGAGAGAGAGAGACGAGAGAGAGAGAGAGAGAGAGAGAGAGAGAGAGAGAGAGAGAGAGACACACAGACAGGAGGGGGAAGGGGGGAGAGAGAGAGAGAGAGGGAGAGAGAGAGAGATTATTTTAATGAAAAGACTGTTTGGAGTGTCTGTCCTATGAGTTTTGTTACCCCACCCCAATCAGGATTCCAAACATTTCCATCATTCCTGGAAAACTCCATCACACTTCCCTGTTGTGGCTTCCTTGCTCCATCCCAATCCCTGGTCACCAAATGAATTGCTTTTTGTCCCTGTACTTTGCCTTTTCCATAATGTCATGTAAATGGAATCATACAATACGTAACCTTTTGAGGGTGGCTTCAACTTACCAAAATTTCCCTCCTTCTGCTTGTTTTAGGTTTGTTTTGCCTTTTCTTTAGTTGATTAAAGCTGAGGTTTAGATTGTTGATTGGAGACTTCCTTCTTTTCTAAAATAAGCATCAAATGCTATACATTTCCATCTAAGCTCTTCTTTAGTTGCATCTACACATTTATTTTTTTTCTTCAGTTTAAAGCATTTTCTAACTTTTTCATTTCCCTTCAGACTACCTTCTTTGACCCCTGGATTACTTAGAAGGAACATTCAATATGGGTGTTTTTGCTGTGCTTACAGCCTTAATCCTGTGGAAACTGGTATTCCATCAATGGAAAACTGAGCCTTTAGTGAACTTGAATACTGTTTCCCCACCACTGCCCAGAGAGCAGTTTCTCAGCAGCCAACAACATATCAGAGGCAGGAAAAGAGCAGCTAAAAGGCAAAGGAGAAAAATGGAAGACACATGCCCTTAAGCATGTATTTTAAGCTAAATGTGATTAAGTATCACCAAAACCCATTTTTTGTATCTTCTTAATTGCCTCACATCGAAGATATGTATGGAAAACTAATTGCTTCTTATATATCCCTAAATTCCTAATTGAAATCAATTCCAACAAATTGTAGGTGCTCAAGAGAGAAATGTGACTTTTAAATATATGTATTCAGTACAAGTTACTTTCATGACATTTGGGGCATTATCAAAATATAATTTGAAACCCCTCTTTGTAACCAACTAAATTAACCAAATGACCTTTTCTTAAAGGCACAGATTAAAAGGTGGCATAAATTTAGTGTGTGGGATCACCTTTTCCGAAAGGGTATCAGGAAATTTGGGTAGAAGTTGATGTTGTGGTCACTTGCTGGGAATTAACTCTAGTTACTGGATCGTGGGGAGGTGTGGCAGGGAAGGCGGTGGGGCGGGGGGAGCACGGCCACTCCAGAAGCTCAGAGCAGCAGTTCCTTATCAACCGTGAGGAACTGTCAGTGTCCCAGCACCCTGTACAGCTGTGCCAGTACAAACCAGCTGCACCGCAGCTCTGCTTGCAGCTTTCCAAAATACAGCTTGGTAACAACAGGAGATTGTGGACACAGTTTTTCATTAGTTTATTACAAAACTGCAGACACAATATACAACATTCCAACTCCTAAATCCTCCTGCCTTTTTTTTTTTTTTTTCCCTGAGACTAAACACCCTCAAAGCCCTCCTGTCTGCTTGGCCCATAATACAACCTGACTCCTCGGCTCCTGGATGCACAGGTCAGAGGTTCCAACAAGTCTGACCATGGTCAGTGCTGTGGAGCCACTCCCAAGGTGGCTGAGCCTTCTGCGAAAATTTAAATTGCTGCTAAGTCATCTAAATAAATAGTGAATGGATTGTTTCTGCCCCTAAGATGAAATCCCACTATCTTATGCTCAAGCTCAGGCACCTAGAAAGTATGGTGGGATCTTCACTGACTTGTTAACCCTGGGAGTGCCCCTTGTGATCCAGATGAGTCAAAACAAACGGCCAGGATCTCTTCTACAAAGCCCATGATGGCCCTTCTGGCTGTGTCTCCAGTCAGTGCCTGGACACTGCCCATGCGCTTCAGGGCCATTCTGACCATTTGGTCTCTTTCCTGGGGGCTGTGGGGTGCTCCAGTGTCATCTCCCTCTGCTCCTTATTTTAGAAACTGTAGGATATAGGACTGGAGCATATTCTCATTCAGTTCAAGGGTTTCTCTGATACAAAGCAAGTCTGAGGCACTGGCCAAGCTCAGGAAATAAATGAGTGCCTGGCAGATTTGGGTCTGTAGGCTGGCACAGTACTTGAATTCCAAAAAGGCTGTGGTGTCTTCGCTCTTCTGTAAGGCGGTGACCAATGTGTTCCAGATCCAATCCGAGCATACTGGTCAACAGACCCATACTGCTCTCTCTTGCCCGGGATGGCAAGGGCAGTGGTAGATCTGATGCGCACTTTGAAGTCCTTGCATGATGTCACAACTGATGTCAGGGCGCTGTAGGCCTGGGAGGTCCATGGGGCTGTCCCTAGAAAGAATCCACAGTCATTAAAACACATGCAAACTTAGAAACAGGTGGGGTGAGAGGGAGAGGGACGGAAGGAAGCATAAACACTAGTGCTCCAAACAGTCATTTTGTGTGTTCACTTCACTCTCACAATCATCCTGTAAGATCAGGGTGGAAACTGACTGTAGGACCCTAGTAAGTGGCCAGCTGCCAATCCCCAAACCTCCCTCTTTCCCCACATCAGCCTGCCACATGCTTAGAGCCTCTGCTACCCAATATAGAGCCTTTGGTGACTCAGAAAAAGGCTGCTTCTCTGGCAGGAATCTGTCCCATGGGGGTAAGGCTTTGTGGCAAAGCAGGGACTCCGACCCCACCTGTCCTCTCAGTTGCGCACTTCTGAGCAGCGTGCAAACCACACACTACACGCGGTAGCCCTGTTCACGCAGCAGAAAGGATCATTTCCTCACTCGCAGCAGCATCCAGACACTGCTCGGGTCATAGCAAGTCGTGCATTTTATTGCAAAGAGGAAGAAAACTTACAGTTTCAAGGATAAGATGCCCAGATTTCTATCTTTTCTCCATTCCCGTAGGCCCTAGGAAACAGCCCGCTTTCCTCCTTACCAGAGCTACTGCTACCCAGTGCATTTTGGGGTGTCCTTTCTCCTCAAGACGGGTGACAGAGTAGAATGCAGCTTCTCTTAACTCTCGCAGCCCTTCCCTGCTTCTCTGTGGCCTCTGAAGACAGGCGAGCAGGCGCACTCCATTTGGTGGATGCCCCTGCCATTGACAATGGACCACTGCTAGGGCTACGAGGCTCTCACACTCCGACCTGTCAGTCACAGTCTTGTCAGTTTCTGGCTCCCTTTTCGTATGTGGCTCCTGATAGCTCTGCTACTGGATGCTTTCTCGTTCGCAAACTTCCTGCCTCTTTGGAGCTTCCCTTTCCCTCCAGGTCATGCAGTCCCCTCTCTCTGGGTCAACTTCTCTCTCTCTAGTAGGCTGAGGGCAACAGCCAGACAGAAAGGCAGGTAGGAGCCAACCACCACTGAGGTGCCCTGGTTTCAAGGCGCTCTCGGCTCTCCAGAAGGTGGACATCCACCGCAAAGAGCTCCAGCCCCAAAGGTCACCCTCAGGTGACTTCCTCAGTGGAAGCAGCCGGGAGGCTACTTCTCCACGGGCTCTAGCTAACTGCTCTGCCTGGACACTCTGGGCATTAAAGGGGAGCAGAGCCACACTCCCCTCGCTTGACGCATGTTCTCCTCTCCAGGAACACATCCTTAGGTTTCCGATCTTCTGAGAGAGAGAGAGAGAGAGAGACGCAATAAAGCAAATGCTGGCATTCAAAGTGAGCGAGATTTGGGGGCTCCCATCCGTACACCCAAGCAGCTGCTGGTCCTGAATGACATCTCAGGGTACGTGGCATGCCACTAATTAGAGACAGCTGCCCTCTTACATTTATTAATGGCATCCACTCTGTACACAGTTCACAGGGGATTTCCAGTTTATATTCCCTCTCATTCCAGTTTTTCCCTTTCTTTTTTCTTGATTATTAAAACAATATATGCTTATTGCAGACAACTGAGAAAATGAAAACAGAAAAAATCCTACTCATCCAGAGGCAATCACTGTTAATAATTAGGCCAATTTCCTTTCAGTCTTTTTTCTATCCATCTCTTGCGATCATTCTGTGGAAATTATTTAGTACTTGCTTTCATTTGTTTAACATCGGAAGTATTTTTCCAGATTATCAAATTCTTGTAATTTAAATGGCAACAAAATATCCCATTATATATCCCACTGTATAGACAGTGATGTACTTCAATGTTCCCCTAAACTCCTTCTCATTATGCCTCCTTTTCCTCCGAATACTGTAGCAAATAACACGTGACAAATGTCTTTAACAGCAATGTAGATTGCTGTGTGCTGTCCCAAAAGGCTTTCCGCCAGGGAGAAAAGGGAAACTTTCTTACCTAATGGAAGGGCGGGATTTTTAAATACATTTCCCATTGCATAAACGAGCGTTCCATCGGACTGTCATGGCAGCTTCTGTTAGGACAGTGGAAAACACCGCCTGGATAAACTCAATGATTTCTGCACGTGCGGGTTTTTCCATATGAGAGGGTTGCAGACAACGAAGCTAATGTCCAAGGCCCGGACCACACTGCTTTTTACCTAGAAAAAAATGTGAATGCTCTCTGTTTTGCCAAAGAGATGTTTTCAAAACTCTAATTTCAACTTTAAAAAAACCCAGGTCCTAGACTTCTTTTTTTTTTTTTTTTTT